TAAACTGGGGCAGGTTTCCCAAGTGAGAACTGTGTGTCCTGAGTACGAGTGGTAAAGAGCTGGCGTTTTCCAGAGCTTCCACTCTTGCTCTCCCTTCCTCAGCATGGAGGTCAGGGGAGATGGTACCTCTGTGCCGCTGCAATTAGGGATCTTAACTGTCTTCTCAGTTTCAAGTCCCCTTGTACTCAAATACCAACATATGCTTTCTCAGCCTGATGTGCACCAGGCGTTTCGATTAGGAGAATGCAGTTGTGTTGAGCTATCTGGGGGTAAGTTGGAGGGATTTTGGCACTTGGGATGCATAAGGTTGCTATTACACAGCAGGCTATGGACAGAAGCCTGCAAGCCTTCTTGACGTGGCTGTTTGTCTTTCCCAGCTTCCCCTATCCTGCCTCTGAGACCCTGCCTCCTTTTCCCCTCCTTGCAAGGATGTGGCTCTGCTGATACGTTTCTGTAAGGGCTTGCAGGTCACCTTGCTGCCCGCTGCTGAGCTGGGCACTTTCCTGGCACACTGCACCCTCGGCATCTCTTATGCTAGTTCTGTTTCTTGCGAACAGGACTGGATTCAGCTGTGCTAGAGTAGAGGCACCTGACCACTGCACTGGGGTGAGTCCTGGGGTGTGGGTGTTGCGCTGTGCCATGGTAGCAAGAGTGGGGTGATGCGATGGATTGGGACCTTCCTCTTCCCACCTAGTAATCTGCACCTGGTGTAAAGACAGAATGCAGGAGAAAAGCTGGTGTATTAGACTTCGCCGTTGAACCGAAGCATGAAAATTTGGTTTTAAGCCCATTTTGCAGATTAGCTGGAGCTGTGTGAATGCGGTACTCATTTTAGCCTGTATTCCTCCTTTGTTTTAGTTGCTTATGTGCTAAGGGGACTGCTGGGAGCAGATCAAACACTTGTTCTTAAATTAGGATGCTACAGTTCAGTACTGTAAGTGCGTGCTCTGTGGAACAACTTCTGGGACAGCCCATGACAGCATGTGGGTTGTCTTCATGTGCTCTGGTGCCCAGCATACAACTGGGACCTCTTCTTTGCACATAGGGTGCAGCAGTTCAGTTGGTAAATGTAAAGGGAAGGGTGACAAGTTCTGCAGTGGAAGTTGGAAGTAATGTACCCAGAGCTGGGCATCAAAACAGCAGGCTGGATGGGTATGGGTATGCCTAAATGCTTGGGTACCACTTTGAGCTTGGTTCAGAGATGAAGGGTCCTAAGGAGGACACCTGTAAGTATTAGAGGCACTTAGTGAACTAGTTTCTAGCATGTTTTCCTTATAATAACTTTTAAATACAGAAGACCTCTCTATTTTACAGTTGCACAGCACCTTATACAGTAGCATCGTCTGTGCTACCAGGCTCCAGCACGGTCCAAAAAATTAATAACTGTTCTGTGTTTTGGAATTCTTATTATGCAATTTAATAGCATAGCAGTATAATGAAATCTTTACAGGGAAGTGATTTGTGTGTGAATTACAGGGTCTGCAAGTGGGCGAGACACTAGCTACTTGTTTTATTGCTGACAATATACTTATTTTCATGTTTATTCCTGGATTACAATGTGTGAATAGCATCCCAGTAAACAGTCAGGCAAATAGTTATTTATCAAGTATTTAAAAGTGAAAGGTCTTGTAATTTTCCTTAGTAATGACTGTGATTTCTTCCAGCTGGATTAATGGCTCCCATTTCTCCCCACGAAGAACAAGAAATGTTTTGGTTTCTACATGGAGAGTTATTGTTTCCCATAATAATGCAGACCAGAGGATTTTTTTCCTTCCTGGCCTGGGATGTGGGAAAGGTTGAAATGTGCTTAACCTGAATTAATACCTTGTAAAGCCCTTTAATATTCTTTCTTTTGTCATTCCTGTTGGAGTGGTGCAGGAGTTGCTGCTGGCATCAGCCCAGCAGCAGCCTGCCTCAGAGCTGCTTTTGTTTCAGTTTGAGGCAATCAGTGGGTCTTGTGATGGAATCGCCTTGAAAGGTCACTCTAATTACGTTTCTGACGCATTCTCCTGTCCCCAGCTGGGCAGTCTTGGTGGAACAGGTTGCCCGCAGCTTTGCAGCTCTGTTGCTACAGCAGACAACTTCAAAAATAACTTCAAAAATATACTCTAGAGCAGCTGCTGGCAGGCCAAAGGGTGGAAAAAAAAAAAAAAAATTGAACGAAGTGTTATATTCTGTGCCCAGCCATTGCTGCTGGTACCCTGCGGTGGCAGAGGAAGCAAGTATCAAAGCCTAAGTAATCCTTTGGTAGCAACCTGTCTCGTGCCCCTGGATAGCAACGTGATTTCTTTGCTGAACTGACTGTCCTTGAAGGGCTGTGCCAGACCCTGCCTGCACATCATGTTGAGGGGCCACAGCAGGTGGAGGTTTCTCCTTTCTCACCCTGTCTGGGATTGACCATCTTCCTGCTCCGAGATGTGGCTCGTAGCGCTGGTCCAACCAACAGCGTGCTATCTCTGTCAGACTGCAGGCTGGCAAATCCCTGGAGCCATTTTTCACGTGCATCTTAGCTTCCTGCCTTCCTTTACCTCAACTGGTGGGACAGACATCATTCAGTTTTGTCTCTGGGTTGGAGACGACTGAAGATAGTCATGAGGTTAAAACCAAGGGGCCCTATGTTTAGATCCTAGCTCTGCCACAGGCTTTGAAGACCTGCTCCCTATCGTGCGTGTCCAGATCCTGTAAGCTATTGAATTGCCGGATTCCTGTAGGTTTATGGGAGCTGAACTGAGCTGTCATCTCTTAGTGCAACAAGCAGAGTTAATGGCAAGGCGTGCTTTCTGTGATCTCTGCTTCCTTTCCCAACCCCTGCCTCCTCTTGGTTCTACACTCTTCAAGTCCCAGAAACGCCCAGGGTTTAACAGTTGGGATCTAACGCAGGAGCAGGTCCTGTGGCTGTGTTGAGGCCAGCGCAGAGGGTTTTTTTTTCCAGGGCATGTGGTTACTATGCTACGCCTCTGAAATTCCTGCGTGCTTGGGGTCTGCCTGATGTTTCTCACGGCAGCTCGCGTGCTTCCTGCGCACCAGGGGTGGACCCTGATGGCACGAGAGTGCAGGGGGGTGACAGGAGGAGGGGGACCATGCCGGGAGCCAGTGCTGCAGAGTGCATGAGAAACGGTGCTGCTGCTCCCCAGCTGGGCAGGGGACAGAGCCGGCTCTTTGGATGCTGCATTTGAAAATAAACAGGCTGCGTGATCGTATTAATCTGAACCCGGCACTCGTGGCTCGTGGGAGGCTCCGTGGGGAGTTGTGGCTAATTGCTGCAGGAAGACACCGAGTTTGTTCTGCTGAAGGAAATTCATAGTCGTAAAGTAACCTTTGGTGTATGAGTGCTGCATGATGTGACCATCCTTGCCGAGGTCTGCGACTGGGTGGTGTGTTTGGGATGCCCTAAATTGTGTAGTAAGGCTTTTGTTCCTTCCTGAACTGCTTTTCCCCTTTTCCCACCCCACTCCTTTCCAATCTGATCAGCAAACACTTCTAAATATTCATAACGTGGGATTTGTCTTTATCCGCATGACCGCCGCTGGTTTGAAAGGCATGTGACAATGCAGGGAGGGAAACGGGGTTAATCTCCTGCACTGGCAGAACAAGGCTGAGCAGGAGACATATAGTGCAAGGATTTATTCTTATTTCTGAACATGCCTTTTCCACTGTGTTTGCAGTCTGGGGAGAAGGAGGAAGAACAGTTTCTCTTCCCTAACCGCTTCTTCAGACACTGATTCACTGTCAGGATGGGGACGTGTGTGCACAGGTTGTGTGCAAGTGGGATTTCAGGGCATCGATGCTTCCGGGCTTAACAAGTAACTCCACAATGCTTTCCTCGCCGCCAACCCAGCTGGGTTTGCAGGTCCTCGGGTTTCTCCATGTCCATCAGCCAGTTTCTACATGGAAGTTGCAGGGCCAGGTTGGTGGGTAGGAGGCAAGCAGCGATTAGCCTGACTTGTAGCCAGGGCAGATCCTCTGACCGACGAGGCTTTCAGCCTCTCATCCCCACGTGCTCTAGACTGGGGACAAGCCTGCCCACCCTTGCTGGCAGCAGATGCAGCCAGAAGCCCAGGCTGCGGGAGGGTGGGATGGAGGACCGTGCCTTCTGGGCTGGCTGAGCTGTGGGTCAGGCTGCCTCTGTGCCCACAGAGCTGCAGGGCCCCGGGGGGGCTCACAGGCTTGTGCTCCAAGGAAGCAAAATTGTTAGCTTGGCAAACCAGGACAACCTCATTAAGAGCTACCAAGAGCATGAAAAGCGTGTTGCTGGAGGCAGGTCATTGTAAATGAGGAGGCTAAAGTAGTTGGGGTTTTCTAACAATTAATTATTGAGTGGTTTTCTAGAGATTCTTTCTCATGTTTGTAATTCATTCCCTGCTGTAGATGCTGTATTGATTTATAATTTTTTGAAGTTCAATATTTTGCACCCTCAGGGCCTCAAACAAAAATTAACTAGAAAATGAGAGCAAATTTCTGCGTTCTGCCTTGTCGGAGCTTTCTCTCCTGTTCCCCATCCCCTGAGCCCGTTTCCGTGCTCTGGTTTGGGTTGCAGATGTTGCCAAGCCTGTGTGCCGTGGGCTGCAAGACGTGGGTGGCGGAACAGCTGTGGCAGAAGAGCTGCCTCACTGACCAACAAATGAGGAAATCAAGAGCCCAATTAAGAGCCTGGAATTGCCCCCAGTGACCTGAGCAGAGTGTTCAGTAGCTGCTAGTGAGACAGGCCTGTTTGAATGAATAAGCATTTCTGTTCATTTGAAGAAAAAATTCCCCTCCTCCCCCACCTCTAATTAGCTACTCTTTTCCTTTTTTCTGCCATGAATATAGAGGGTTTGTCACTGGAATGAAATCTTAACAAGATGCATGTTCTTCAGCTTGCCGCTGATGGAGGTGATCCGTGTGCAGGTGGAGTGGGGAGTCCTGTACCTGTTTTCTGTGTTTCCTTGCCGGAGCTTTGGTTTTGCTGTTGTGAGTATGGCTCTTCCTTACCCTCTGGTTCATCTTTTTTCCTCCAACAGAGTGACTAAAGAAGTGGACTCGACCTCAAAAGAAGCTAAATCTTTTCTGAAGCAGCAAGAAAAATGGCAGTCAGCAGCTCCAGCTTCCCTCCCGACAGTCTCTGGGTGAGTTTGTGGTTTCTCTGCCCAGGTATGGACCCTTAGCGAGAAAGACGGCGCTCGAGTCTATATAGGCTCTGTGGTATTTAAGCTAATGGGTATTTGTTTTCTGCAGGATTTCAGTGGGAGCAAGACTAGGCCTGGAAGGTGTGATGATCTTGGGGGGGAGGGAAGCGGGGGAAGCAACCCATGAGTCCCATGACTCACTTCGTAGGTTCAGGCTCGAATTTCTCAATCCTCATAAATCATTCATCCTAGTAAGGAAATATTGTTTTGAATGTCTTGAGCAGCCTGATGAAACTGCAGTTAGTCAAGGAACATGCCTGAGATTGCCTGCAGTTCCTTTGAAAGGTGCTTCTCTGGACCATAAAAAGCCATGGCAGGCTGGGCCGTGACTTCTTATAAACCTTGGGGGAGCATTTGAATGAAAGATGCTTCTGCCTCTTTGGTGTGGATTTGTCACTTTCTGTTCAAGCTCTAGCACTTAATTCTGAGATTATCATAACACTTGTCAAAGGTACAAAAAGGTCAGGCCCCCTGTGCATCTGACATGCCACTCCATGTGGTTTTTGATGAGCTTGGGAGATCACCTGTTTCTCAGGAATAGAGGAGATGCTTCTGTGTTCCAACAATGATTTTTATTTAAGTCAGTCATTTGCATTTATATTTGAAAGACATAAGCTGCGTACGATTTGGTCACAGAGAAACAAGACCCATCAGATAAATACGTTGTCCTTCCCATCTGCTGAAGAGCAATTCTCCAGTGTGAGTTAAGGCCACCTTTCCCTGAGATAGGCTGTTATTCAGTTGCTGCAGCTGGATTGTCACTCATTTTTCCAGCTAAGTGTTGCGTAGCTTGTAGTTAGATCGGGGTAGTGAAAGCTGATGTGTGTGTGACTCTTGACAGCTGCTGTTCCCTGAGATGAATGAATGCATAGATGAGCATAGTGTTGTTGCTGCTGTTCACGCCGCACAAGGGTTCGTCCCTGCAGAGCTCATTAGTTGTAACCTAAGTGTTGTGTACAGGGTTTTGTGCTGAAAAAATTTGCCTTGAGTTGGACTGGCGTTCTGTCTTCTCCTTGGCTGGCTACAGAGGTGGTTCAGGTGGCAGCTGAAGCTAGGGCAGCTCCTTGTCGTGCACACTGCTGGTGGTCCCGTGTCTTCAAACCTGCCTTCCAGTCCCCCCAGCAAACGCCCTGCTGCTCTGAGTGCAGGCAGGTTTGGTCGCTCACTGGGAAAGCCCCACGGGCTGCTCACCTTCCTGCTGTTCTGGGATCCGTGTTTCTTCCTCTATCTTACTGGCCCAGGGTGGAGGTGGGTGGCCAGCGGGCCCGCACAGCTAGACATTACCAAGGTGCATGGCTGCTTGTGCTGGAGCTCTGATTGCTCAGGAGAAATAGCCAGAGCCCAGTTTGAGTTAACACTGCAGATACTTGAAGTGAAGAATCCACATAAAATACGGAAAAAATGGAATAAAAATCAATATAAGAAATAATGAGTTCAAGGACTCCTTTAACTTTCCTCCAGTGTGTTTATTTTGGAAGCAGCTTAATTAGGTCATCGTTCAGCTTGCTGATGTGTGATGTCCTACTGACAGTTGCTTGCCCAGAATATGAGGTGGCCTGGCTGCAGGGAAGGGAGGGGAAAAATATCCTGGGCTTGTATGCCTTGCCTTCCTGCAGAACAGCAAACCCTGGTGCAGTGCAGCCCCATGTGCCTTCCCTTTCGCAACATGCTGCAGAATATCCTGGTTTTGTGCAGTGGTACTACGGCAGCGGTATTCTGATCAATGTATGGAACAGCCCAGCGCTCTTGAGAGTTTAGCAGGAGACTGTCTGGGGCAGCCTGGCCGGCATGTGCCCTCTGGTCCGTGAGTGCTCCAGGGAGTTTCCTACCTTGGGATAGTGTCTGAGACTGATCCCTGACACTGCCAGCAAACACGCTTGCCTTTGGGCTTAGGAGGGTGCTTCCAGCTGGGAAGTCAGCCAGGGTGTTTTCAGGTGAGAAAATTACTAACAGGCTTGCCATGTTCCTTAAAGCCAGAGGTGAGTCCCTTATATTAAGAAAATGACAAAGGTCAGGCTTTAGACTTGGAACCAACCTATTGTCCAAGCCCTGCTCCTCTGGAGCAAAGAGCCACAAGCTTCGGTGACATGCCAGAGGAGCGCCTGGGGACCGACAGAGCCTGGTGTAGCCTGATGGTTCTTTGCTGGTGCGCTTTGGCTGCTTAAGGTACAAGTTTTGGAGGAAAGGGTGCATTTCTCCCTTGTGCATTACAGGAGAGCACCAGTCTGGGTCAGGATCACTAGAAGGCACTGAAAAACATGTGATTCAGGATCCTAGACATGCCTGTGGACACCCACTGTGCCGTGAGCCATTGTCAGCCCCCAGGAGCTTTGTCAGCTATTTTAAAAAAAAAAAAAAAAAAGGGGGAAAAAAGATCCTTGCCCTGTGTGCAGGGGATTCGAGCAGCTAAGAATGGCCTCTCCATCGGGCTTTTCTTTCTTCACCTTGCAAGCAGCTTGCATTATTTCTGGATACAGCCAGCCTACCCTGCATTTATTTGATTTCCCTTCTCTAAACAGAGAGAAGTAATCCAGGAAAGCAGCGGTCACAAAACCAAACATCCAGTTCCACATCTCCACGTTTCAAACCCTTGCAACCCAACTGGTCCAGGGGAAGGGATGTTTGGGGCTGAAAGTGCATTTCCTGAATGTGTTTAACATCCATACCGGATGTGCTATAAAAAGCTAGATTTGTGCTTGTGAGGGACATGGGGGTGGTTGGAGGAGAATAACTTAAACACTTGGCTGTAATTAAAGCCAGGAGTACAAAACAACCCACCCAGTTCTCTCAGCAGGCTTTGCTAGAAAGGTCAGAAGCCCTTGGTTCCCAGGGATGTGATGGTTTCCCAGCCTTCCCGTTATTCCCATCGTGTCCCCCCGTGACACCCAGCTAGGCAGCGGTCTGTCAGCAATGGGTATTGGTTTGTTGAAGGGGTTTGGTGTTGGTACTCTGTTCCAGCCGTGTTTCTGTCATGCTCTTGGGTTGTGTTAGGCTCTCGCTGATGCTGCCAGGGGTGTCAGATGTGATGAGGGGATCCACTGATCCCTTCTAATTTGCTGTCACAAAAAATGGGTGGAAGGCTCCCAGCATTCACAAAAAGCCCTCCCCCTACCCCACTAAGCCTTCTTGCCTGTCTGTGTGTTTTAAGACCCGTTTCCTATCCTTACCACTGCTCCAGGGCTTTTTGGGGGCAGCAAGAGTAGCTCCTGGCTGTAAATGCATGGCCTGATGGAGGGGTCAGTCAGCTCTCTTTCCTGGTGCTCTGAGAGCTGTTTTCTGCCTGCTCCCTGGGCCAGGCAGGACCCACGAGCTCTGTCCGTCATCCTTTGCGCTAGTAATCCTATTTTGCAACCTCATATTCAGAGGATGTTAAAGCAAATTAAATCCTCCACGCAGTTTACTGCAGAATGTCTGTGTGCATGCACTTGTGCATGTGTGACTTGAGACACAAGGGGAGGGTTGAGCTACAGGCTGGGAAATACCTGCACAGACCTGAGCCCTTCGGTGTGAGCGGCTGCGATCTGGCCCTCGGTCCTTGATGCTTGTCAAAGCACAGCGGCGTTGCATAGGCAACTGTGCTGTTGTAGCAGTGCTGAAAATGAAGAAAATGTAGTTGGTGGATCTTATTTGAGATTCTCCTCTAGGCAGCTGTTTCTACATGGCCTGAACAGGAGCCAGGAAGAAAAAGGGAGGTTTTTCACTAGCTTTGTTCCTGCCTTTGCTTATTACCAAAACCGTTTGTAATTAAACGTGGACTTGCTCACTCAGCCCAGCTGTTGCTTTTCTGTTTGATCCTGCCTGAAATTACAGTGGTGGATGTGTGACCTCCTAGGCCTTTTCATGCCTTGTAGGCTGGTATAAACACAGGGTAAAATTTGCCTTTGAAGCAAGCAGGCACCACTCCCACGGAGTTCAGGAGGTGCGGTGCTTGCCGACCCCCGGGCTGAGTTTGGTCTGCGAGGATTTGGACCTCAGTGCAAGACCCGGCAGGAATAGGCACTGCAAGAAAGCTCTGACCCAGAGACACATACTTGCCCTGAACGGAGAAAGCAAGATAAACTCTAGCCTGTTCATGGATGCTTTTCTCCCCTAGTCTACAGTAGAGCAGTTCATGTGGACTGACCATTAAATGGTGTGAAAAGCTTCAGGCCTTTGCTTTTAGCAGTGATTTACTCTGCCGCATGCTCATGTTGGAGTAGAGGGACTCCAGCAGGAAGGCATCTGTCCATGGCTTCTCTCCCACCTTCAATGTGCGGGAGGAGGAATGGTGGCAGTCTTTGTGGGAGGATATGGATGATGGGAGAACCTGGAGCCTGTTTGCAGCATCCTGACCTGTTACTGTAATTTCTAAGCTAACCTTCCCCTCCAGCCTGGCTACTCCTAGGAGCTGCTTTGCATCCAAAGCTTTTTCTTGCAGAAGATAAAGATGCTCTTTCTGCATGAGTTGGCTGGAGCTAATTGGATCCATTTGCTGTCATGACCAGAACTGGTTACTTGAGATCTTAAGTAGACACTGGTGAGACGGGCACAGGCTCTCAGCTTCTGTAAACCTCAGATGATCTCGAGCAAGTGCTGCAGCACTCACATGCCTCCAGGGAGCAATTTCATTTCACAGCAATCCCACGGGCTTTTTTAAATTCAGAAAGCAGGAATTTACAGTCCAATTTCAGCTCAGCATCAACTGCAAGCAGTTATTTAGCTAAAACTCCTGCACATTTTGCTTGTATGGGCTGAACAAGGATGCAAATAAAGCAAGTAATCAAGACCTTTGAGCTGGGGTTTTTTTCAGTAGTCACTTAAGCAACTGAATAGCTCTGTTCTTGCTAGTGATTTCAGGGCTTCTCTGCTTTCTCCTGCGGTTCCCTTACTGTGCTCCAGAGAGTGCTGTTCTCCCAGACGGAGAGATCCAGCCCCTTGCACCATAGCCAAATGTCTGGGTGTGAGTAGTACATGACATATTTTTCTGTGCACAGCAAGATGAACCAGCCAGGGGCAATATTCATGCGCCCTAGGGCTAGTTTTACTTATTTCCTATTCATACACTTCGGTTGTGAAAGATTAAATGTGGCGGTAGCTGTTCCAAGTGAGTAATTTCTCTTCAGGTCTTAGATCCTTTGTTGTTTTTATTTTTGTTTTAATTATTCATTGTTAGTGTCTGTCTGCTGGTTTATGCATATCCACTCCTTGAATCAACGTAGTTACGAGGCTGGGTGATTTTTTTGGAGTATCTTGGTTTTATTTGCTAGGTGACTGAAATTAATTACCCCATGGGGATCGGTGTGGAAAGGTGTTTGTATGTGCGGGGAAGGGGACGTTTGTCATTAGGAAAAATGATGGCTGGTTCACTATTGAAGTGAAGGGTTTCCATCATCCGTGGTAAATAAGATGCTGATTGCTGCACACTTGTAAAGCACGCCAAACAACCTTATCCTCTGAACATCTGCCTCCCCTCTTGAAGTCAGCGTGGACTGAGGCTTCCAGTGTCACAGGCGATCAGACCCCTTGCAGAGCCCGCAGCAGCGAGGATGCCGATCTCCGGCTGGTGCAGGTTCGGCAGCAGCAAGGGCACTGGCTTAGGCTTCGCAGCCCAGCTGAGAAGCAAAGTAAGTCGGGCTGTCCAAGCTGTGAGCTGTGGCCACACCGCCATCGGATCCTGTGCTAAGGAGCTGACCATTACCTGCGGACAGGCTTATCCAAGGCTGCGGTCACCTCTGAGGATGAACTGTGGGTGGGAGCGCTCTGCCATTTTGGGTCTTTGCCCCTTCTCCGAACAGTTCTTGCTCTTGAGCTTATGTTAAGCCTTTTCTGATAAGAAATGGAGCTCCGAGTGTGGGAAGTTTCGTACCCACTCTCTCAGACTCAAAGCAAAACATGCACTAAACATCCTTCTTTTAAACTAGTCTCTCAGGAGCAATCCTTTCTTGTTCTCAGGCTAAATGAGTCAATGCCTTCTACCCCAACCTCTATTTTGCAATAGAAATGAATGAGATTTTTTAGCTTCATTCTGCGCTTTCCTGCGGCCATGCTAGCGAGTGTGTGGTTGCTTTTGCTTGGGGCAACGGCATCTTATTGGAAAGAAGTTTAGCAGTGCTCGTATGGCTCTGTGCCTTGCTTCAGTCCTCTGTCTTGATGTGGCTAAGCTGGATCCCTGGGCCGGACTAACTGGGATCAGCTGTTTCTTTTTCTAGTCTCGTTGGAGTTCCAGCAGAATGGAATCTCAGCTATTTGAGGACTTATACTCTCTAAAG